GAGAAATACCAACGAAACTCTTTGATAAGACAATTAATAGTGCTACTGTAAATTACTCATCAATAATCAACTGAGTAGTACTGGAAGTTGATAAGTTTATTAGACGATTTTCTGCGCGCCTGCTAGGCGTACGTAAATTTGTTTTCTGGTTGGTAGTTTACTGTACGCACTTCTTTTCCACGTTTTGATTTATAATCAGTAGTACATGTTTGATTTGTATACAGGTTTTTGCTGTTAGGACAGGATCCAGTAATATATTTATGTATGCATGTATGTATAGATGTATGTGTTTATGTATGCGTGTATATATGTAAGCACGAATATATATGTGTGTATACTACACATATATGCATATACAATACATGCGCACTCGCATACATTCATACATTTTTGAATCCGATCCCGATAAGAGAACAATATCGTTTTTGCTCTATCTTTGCTTTACTTTATATTTGTGTTATTATATGTAGTGTGTTCTTACTATTTGAGAATTCAGTACTCTGTACACGATTGTGCATTTTGAATTACGCCGGGAATCGAACCAAGGACCTCTGAAATACCTGCTCAGTGTGCTGACCACTACACCACGAAGGCACGCTAGGAAGGCGGGAGAAATAGTATCATGGTACATTAATAAATTTGTTACAGGCTATTTAAACCCCAATTTTTTATATTTTATGTTTAAATTTATTTTAATAGCTGTTTAAATTGAGTTAAATGCATAAAAGTAGGCAACGTTTTAGTTGTTCTCTAACCTCAGTTTCATAATTTCATAACACCTAGTGACTGTTTGCGGAACATCAGTATTCCACGAAACACAGCTTAGAATACGCTGTTGTAGACGTTTGTCTCATGTGCAGAATAAATGTGTGAGCTAATCGGAGACGGGATACTTCCAAATAGGAAGAGGGTTCTTTCCCCTCCCCCCCGCCAAAAAAACGTACTCATGGAATATTATCTCCTCCACATGTATGTTACGTTTTTCAGTTAGATGATAATACAATAGAAATACAAAAGGTTTGGTAAAATTCTAACTGAAACTGAATTTGGTTAGTGCCAATTACTTATTCTGCCGAAGGATTTAAGCTCTTGGAAGATCATCATCTGGTTATCATCTAACATCTTTAGCGCTTCGGAATCTTGTTATAAATCTGGAGATTAGACGTAGCAAGATGCCCATGATTCAGGAAACATCCCCTGTGACTGAATTTCATCTTCTTCTTTAAGAAGTTCAAATTAGCCTTTCTCTGCCTTGGTTTGGTTTATTTAATTACGGCAAAGCACATGAGGGCTATCTGCCTAAGGGAAGGGATACCTTCGTGGAGGACAAAAGTGAAACTGGCTCCTATACACGTTACACATGGAAAAAACCACGAAAATGCCCATGCAGCCAGCCCATTCGCCGGGATTCGAAAGTGGGACAGAACTACCACTGTTCAGCGATTCTATCGCTTAGTCGCTGGTGGGCTGCCTTTCTTTGGCATGATCAATTCCTAGTTCTCTCTGATTGCAAGAAACTGAATAAAACAGGCTTGCAACAATTAGCTGTATTTATGTTTTAAGATATGCGCTCATTATTTGCACATACACTGTCATTTAATAAACGTTGCTTGGGCATAGAACTTTATTTAAGTTTGTCAGTAAACTAACTGATTGCAAATTTGTACTCCTATGTTTACACTAGCTCTTTTTTGTTTGTTTTGTGAACTATGCTTAACTTTTGGTTGTCAGGGCAGTTAAAGTATAAGTTTCAGTTTATGCATTTTTTTAGTACCCTCTCTTTTGGTTTCAATATACCAATGTATTGATTGATATCTGTGAATAATTGAACGAGAGTTCTTAAGATCATACATTCAGTTTTATAGGTACGTTGAAAAAGAGGGGGAAATGCCAGAATTTTAGGCTCTCTGTTGCTAATATTTACTGGTATGTAATTTCTCCGATGACATACGCGGCATAGATTTGCATGATAAAAGTTGTGCTCAATCTTCTTGTTGTATATGCACTGCATTTTCTGTTCACGATTCGCCTTAAATACTAGCGGAATTAAACAAAATCTAAATGGAGTAAAATAGATGAAAATTGTAAAATAAGAATTTATAATATCTGGGTAAACATTTTTCTCAAATGAGTATTAGATTTTATTCCATAATTAATTACACTTAACTGAATGCATATGAAAATATTGAAGCAAACCTAATTAACAAGGTAAAAAAAAAAACTTTTGGATAAATTTAAGCACAGTTAAAATTGAAAGAAGTGTTGAAAGTAGGGAAAAATGAAAGATTTACTGATTTTTCCTTTTGATGTCACATTCATGCTCCTTAATGCAAGCTTTTAAGTGGTCTTCGTTTGACTAATGTATAAAAAATCGTACTGATAAGGAATATTATCAATTCTTTCAAGAATTCATTTCTAGTAAAACTTCTGCAAGTACTGAAGCAACTTTTATTAATAAACGAGAAATTAACCTGGAAGATGGATTTATGAGAAATCAGGGTAATTGTATAACTAGCAAAAAGGAAAAGAGGAATGACAACCAAACTGATGTAACTGCTTTGAGTGCTGAATGCTGTATATGATACGAAGTATTACGAAGTATTCTTTCAAAGCATCATAAATAAAAGAATAAGGGAATTGTTTTCGTCTAAATTATGAATAACAGCCATTAGATGTTTGATTTCCCTAGCTAAAACAGATTGTGAAGTAAAAATGTTAAAGGCACGGAAAGCAAAAATCATATTTTGATTAGTAGGTAGAAATACTTTTACTATTTGCTTAATCTTTGTCGAAATATTTCACAAATCATTTCAGAATATTTGTGTTGAATGTGGACTATGATTTTGATATAAAGTTCAGACGTATAACTTCACCGAGTTCTACATTAACTACAATACAAGAAGCCAATACCAGTCACAGATGCTTAGGGTATCTCTCATAGATTAATCTTGCAAAATGCACATAGCAATTTTACAGTGGTCCTTAAATTTATGTGGAATATTTAATAAGGTGAAATATACTTTATTGATATATATATCATAGGTACTGAAAGCTTTAAGTCTTCTGACACTTTAAAATCAAGTATCACATATTGCTTTATTTTATGCACTTTGAAGTAAGCATGATTTGTTTCTTGTAATGTACTTAAAACAATAAATTTAAATTTTCATTGACAGTGAAGTATAGCAAATTTCTCAATAAAAGTCTGAATTTAAAGATCAAACATCTTATGCAGATTCTTTTAACTAACGACTAAAAGTAATTACCTATGTATTTTAGATCTGAAAAATAAAATATTTACTTGAAAAATATCTAGTGTAATCTTACAATCATTAATATGATTAAGAAAATACACTGACGTCCAAATTTATCTTTACATAGCCCGAAATAAGGATATTCCACGAACTATCTAAACGATATTGCAGGTAATGTGTGAAAGACAAACCTAATTAGCATTATCCAATCAAAAGTGATCAAATGGTTTTGGATATGCAGATCAAGGCGTTACAGCATCTGACGGTATACCAAGCGCTTTGTGTAAAGTGAATATCTGAGTGATATTCTGCAATGCAGCGTTTGATTTCAGTTTTGTACGGACTGAAAACTGTTTATTATGGCTTCGAAGTATCATTTGGAACAATCTGTGAAGTGACGAATCATTGGCCGTTTAGAAGCAGAGCAGACAATTATGAAAGCATTGAGATGTGTGATGTATTTCAAGGCAGTCTGTACACTACGGAAACAACTTGAGAACGCTGGAACTGTTGTAAGGACGTCTGAACAAGGTCATAAATGAGTAACAACTGATTCTCAAGATCGATATCTGGCAATAATAGTCCGTCGAAACAGTAAGTCTACAGCTCGATAGTTAAGTTCAGAGCTTGCAGTTGCCACTGGAACTGTTGTATCTCGGCAAACTGCATACAGAAGGCTTAAGAAAAAAAGGTCTTTATGCCAGAAAGCCAAGGTATGTGTTTCACTGGCTTCAAAAGAGGGATCACTTTAAATGGTGCAACAACATCAGAAATGGCGTGAACAACAATGGTCGAGAAAAAGCATGCTGAATCCAAAAAACGCATCCAAAGTTTTAATGCAGAGCAGCAATAATGATCGATGGACGTACGCCGCTACACGTTTATCAGCGGATTTGTGACTGGCGAAAGATATCGTATCGGGGTTCATACCTTAGGAACTTTATGTAAGGCTTTTCAGAAGTGCATATGGTTTTGACTTGTTATTTATGGACGATAATGCTCGTCCACACCGAGGAAACCTCGTTGACGAATTCCTTGAAAGTGAAGAAATTGAGCGAATGCCATGGCCAGAAAAATTTCCTTATCTTAACCGGATAGAGAACTTAGGTACTATTTTGCAAAAGCAATTATGGAAGTACTATGGAAAAGCGATTGTACGGAGACACCTTCTAAAAATGTAAATGCCCTGAAGACCGCATTACTGGAGGAGTGAAAGTTAATTTCAAAAAATGTAATTTAAATCTTTATTGCTAGCATGGAAATACGTTGTGATATGCATACACAAGTCAGGGAAGATTACATTCCATATTAGATTCATACACCTTAAATTTTTCTGAGTTATTCTGATTGTTTTTAACTCTTTTTCTAACATATTATTATCACTTTTATTGATTCATGCTACAATTTTATATTATATATGTAGTGCTCTTAATTTTTCCTTTGTATTTATGTGTTATGATATTATATATCGTTCCACCCAAATTTGTAAAATTATAATTTGCAATTTCTGAGAAATCCTGGATTTCATGCATGCAGAGATAACTTTAGATTCGAGTGTATATTAATAAAGAAAGTCTTAGAGGTCACTAAACTGTTAAATTTATAATTATTTTCATTCTACAAATGAAGATTAAATGATTTGACTTTTATTTACCTGATATCCTCCTTTTTTATAAGCTTTTCGTTGTTGCTCTTTAAAAATCTGAAAATAATTACTAAATATTGTGTTTTCTTCTTTTTTTCCAGTTGTCCATGGTATGGTGTTGACAGCAATAGGTTTGAATGGGTTTTGGATCGTCTTTGCAATTGTAGCTGCCAAAGGAAATATTGTAGGTTAAAGAAACTTTTTTCTAGTATGAATTTAAAATTATTTTTCTATTTGATGATTTAGAACAAAATTATATCAGTTGTATTTACGTTTTCTTTAGCATATAATCCCATAAACATGTACATGTACTGGCATCAAAACATTTTTAGTGAGGTAATTCCCACTTTTATGACATGTGTAAAAATATAGCTTTCATAATAGCGTGATGCCTATTCTGTGCAGCACAAGTTTTCAATTTATGATTTAAAAGCATACCATAAAACCATTTAAAAACACGGTACTTCTTAATTATTTATAATTAATAATTAATGCAAATTGTTTTCCAAATACATTTACAATATTATAATGTTATTTTATTGTATTATTATGAAATTTTATATTTGCATTGAATTTTATATTGCATTTTATATTTGCAGCTATATAACGCGCTTAACATGTTCAATCTGAGTAATAGTCATACTGTCTACGATTAGGAAACCTAAAACGTGAACAGCAGAAACCATCTCTAATCAGGGAAATTTTGCTTTATGAGTTTGAACGGTGTCATAACACTGCGGAAGCAAAAGAATCATTTGTCATGCAAAAAGAAGTTTTCGGTACTAGTTAAGAAAATTTGCTTGGGCGACAGGAACCTCGATGGTTAACCAAGATCTGACAGGCCACATACCATATAATCTTACGCCTTACACCAGGTCATTGAAGCAATTCCAGTAGCTGGAATTCGAAGATAGTCAGGAAGATTATACACGTCATTGACAAGGAAGATCTTCCAAACTTGAACTCTGAATTTTTCTGAATAAAATATATATGAATATACTCATCTAGAAATACACAAGAGTAAAGGAATGAGCTGCTAATATTCTACAAGAAAATGTTCAATAAAAAATAACGAGATTTGGTGACAATTTACAAACTTTCCAAAATTCAGTTTGAAAAATCATCAAGTTGATCGATTCCTGCAACAAAAATATATAAAATAATGAATGAAGTAATGACAAACGAAGGAAATATATTTTGACTGTCAAAAACGGTATCTTAAAATCGAAAGCTGAAAAGATCGGATGAAATCTTTGAAAATTTAGGTGAGAATACAAGGAATTCTGGAAACCCTTTTATTGTGGAATGATGTATGACATCATATTTATTTTAACGCATTGGAGGCAGTATATACTCTTTATAAGGTAATGAATACACTGATTTCGGAGTGAACGTATAGCGCAGATGAGGTGGAATAAGAAATGGTCAAAGCAGTAATCTATTTTACATCGACTGCAATTAGTGAAATGAATCGAGTTATAAGTTCAAGAGACGCCCAGCCGGTATAGGGGTTAGCGTCTCTGCCATGCCGAAGAGCGCGGGTTCAAATCCTGGAAAAGGCATTTATGTTGGCATATGTATAGTGTCCATGTTGCATGGGGGCACTCTAAATACGCGGCGAGCCGAAAGTCCTCTCGAGAGGTTGATGGTAGGGGAAGAGCGGTGGGAGTCCCTCGGACCCGTCCCCCTTAGGGTGCTTTTCATCAAAATTGGGGGCGAAAGGGAACTAAATCGCATTGTCACTTGTAAGGTGCTCAAGGCTGTTGCCAACGGCAGGCGTAATCTTGCGCTCCTTGCCACAAGGAATTTCGTGGCCTTGGGCTGACTTAAGTCAGACTAGTGAGCTTCAGCAACAGCAACAACAACAATTTCAAGAAATACAAGATCACCAAACAGTCGAACGGGTAATACCGCTGATTAGAAGTAGTTCGAAGGAGGTTGAAATTATGTCAAATTGCCATCCCCAGACTTTTGAAACTGTTTCTCCTCCCAATAAGAAAAATGATACACATTTTTCATTGTCCTTTTCATCACATGTTCTTATGACCCCGCGGTATAAAATTGGGGCCTTTTTTTTTCCAGTGTCATTATCTGATGAAACATCTGAGAATTTACTTTCAGATGTGTTATCTTATTCATGTTCACAGTTGATGAGGTGAGGAATTTGCTTCCTCGTCAATTGAAATTGTCCTTTGACTTTCATATTCTTTTAAATTTCAGAAATCAGATCCTTCGATTAAATATTTTCTTGCTTAAAGTCTATTAATTTCAAATGCTTGGGTGCAAAATCTTGAAACAATATTAAGACCACATTGCGTATATTTGCTTCGAAATAAAGAACTAGATTGAAATTGAATATCTAATTCAGTGTCTCGTTAATTTTATATGGCCTACCAGCGCCGAGCGGTAAAGTGGCTGAAAACTGGTAGTTCGGTCTGTGGTTCCAGTCTCAGCGAACGGGTTGGCGGCATGGGCGTTTTCGTTGTTTTTTCCATGTGAGACTTGTATACGAACCAGTTTTCCTCAGGAAGTTCTCCACGAGGGCATCCGTACCTTTAGGGAGATAACTCTTGAGCGTTTTTCCATAATCAAATAAACCAAACTAAAATTTAATTTTTATACTTTGTAACGCAATTGACTTCAAGTTAAAATTTCTGTCAGCTTGCTAGAAAGAAAAGTTTAAAAAATGATAGCTTTTTGATTTTAATAAAAAGTAAATATATACAATGAAAAAAAATAAAGTGTAAAGACTTTTATGAAAATTAACTTCAAAGGACAGACTGCAGTGTTTCACAAGGTGAAACTAGGTGGGAATATTTTCTTGACTCAAGGCTATCAAAAGAGTAAATTTCTTAGAGCTGCAGAAAATCAGGATAGAAACTTTGTTGTTGGTAGTAAAAAATATTTTGTTGTTTATTTTCTTTCATCTACAGATATTTAGCTCTAACTAATAGCTTTCGTCTGAAATGTGCAGAATCCACTGTATTCTTTTCCAAATCTGTTTGTTCACGCAAGTGCGGATTGCAATTTTGCTGAAAAATTGAGGAAGCATTTTCGATAAAGCAATTGAAATTTTTGGAAATGAAAGACGCAAGAAATGAAACGCAAGACAGCTGCACATGCTTTCCCTCATTTAGAAGAACACAGTATTAAAAAAACTGATAGCTAAATCAGTGTTACTACGAAACAGAAAATATACAAATCTAACTATTTGACTCCCGTGTTAACATTTTATTTATTTTACGTCTTATTTTTTTCTAAAGAATATTAGCAGCAAATTCTTGTACTATCATGTATTACTTGTTCAGGAGATTCGTATATATATATATATTTAAAAAGTCGAGGTCAAAATCTAATGAAGCTGTAAGAATATTTGGACTCTACCCAACTCTGTTTCCGAAATACATCGCAAAAGAAAATTAATTAATAGTAAACAAAAAGTGAAAAAAAAAATCTGCAGGTTTCAGATTTTAAATTGCGTCCAAAGGGGCGTTTTTTAACGTTTTGTTTATTAAATATAATTTTCTTTGCACTTAAACCATAAAATTCAGTTCAATAGGAATGTCGCAAAATAATTTTAAATAAGCATATCTTTAGAATTTCCGATACACAGTTCCGCGCGCTGGAAATAAAAAGAGGTCCCCCCCCCATGTTGCCATTGCTCGCTTTGAAATCCTTGAGTTTGTTAATCAAAAATTAGTTAAGTTTTACAAAATATGAAATCGATAATAAAACAAATTCCAAATTTCAAATTTGATCTTCCACATGCCCATATTCGTAGGAGGATTACGTCATTCAAAATTCGATGGCTCTATGTACCGTTGTTTTATCATAATGCGAGAAATATACATACATTTATGCAGATTTTTAATTTTTTAATTTCTTAAAATATAATGCAGGACTCTAACATTTGGTGGCAACAGTTTGAAAAGTGAAAAAGACATTTATAGTGATTCAACGCAAAATCGCAAAACGAAAACAATAGTCCTTCAGGGACAAAGCCCCTTTGTACTAACAATAAATTTAAGAACTGAAAATGCAAATTACATAAAATGGCAACCTAGGATTATCAAAAAGATAGGTTAATCTCTTTTATTCAGAGCTTCAAACAGAACTTGTCAAGAGAAAAGTGCTTTGAAGCTTCAAATAACGGTGATTAACTAGACAGGCTAAAGCAAGTTTCATTCCGACTAATTCACTGAGACTTAGAACGGCAAAACGAATTTACTTGACAAGTTCTGTTTGAAGCTCTGAACAAAAGAGTTTAATATATCTTTTTGATACTCCTAGGTTGCCATTTTATGTAATTTGCAATTTCAGTTCTTAAATTTATTGTTCACTTTTTGTTTACTATTAAGTAATTTTCTTTTGCAATGTATTTCGGAAACAAAATTAGGTAGAGTCCAAATATTCTTACAGCTTCGTTAGATTTTGACCTTGACTTTTTATAATAATTATAACATTCACTGATCATAATTAAATAAATTTTTATAATTTTACCTTTTAGTTACATTATCTACATTAAATTATATTACAATTGTTCATTTCCTTAAATCATTAGTATAATTTTTTGCAATCATAAAAATATTCAATAGCAGATTCTTTATATTTTTATATTAGCATTCAAAAACACAAATTTTATATAAATTTTTATGCTAATATTCAAGATTATTTACGTCATACTTTAGATTCCCCCCATTCTCAAAATAATTGAAAATTTTTAGGAATAATTCAAAATAATAATTATTAAGGTCAATAAAAGTTTTATAACCTTTCCTAACTGAAATGACGGAAAAAGTTTTAATATTCGTCCCTAAATATATTCAAAATAGTGATTGAAAATTAAATTTCTGAAGACCATAAAATTTTAGTTTGATATCATTTTTATAAAACAGTCTTTTATTTTTAATATCTACAAATTTGTAGCCCTGGTACTAAGACATTATGTATATATACACTGCTGGCCATGAAAGCGGAATGCATAAGCGTCAGATCTGCACTACTTGCTGGGATATGCAAAAATTAGCATTACAAGGCTTGGGCACTAAAGCAAGTATGAGTAACGCATTGTATAAATGGAAAGATTGTACAGCTGGGTTTCTCCTTTGGAAACTGCATTTGAACGTAGGCTTTTTGTGTAAAGGTGGTGTTATGCTTTTTTAAGGGCCTTGTTATGCTACCTTGCCTTGTTATACTAACAGCGCGTGTCGGAATTCGACAGCGATAGGATCGTGGCCTGTCGACACTGTTGTTCCGCGACATTACTGCCCTTGTTGGTCGGGATCCCATGACTGTCAGATGAATAGGGTGTCAGTGGGTCCATTAAAGACATACTGAAAGCCATGCAGGTTCTTAGAGGTCCCGAGCCCCTACCACCAGAGAGGCAGACATGCTGTCCTCTCAACCTTGCGGAATCGTACAGCCACGTCATGAAACGTCATGTACCATATGTCAGGAACGTCTCTCATGTGCAGCACTGCAGGTGTCCGTTCAGACAGGGCGGCCACCTTTGCAGCTCCACGGACTGTCAGCAAGATGACCTTCTTGTGGCAATAGAGACACGCGCCTGCACTAGTACGACGAACGACGGCACTGGACACAGGAGTAACACCACCGTAGACATTTCAGACAAATTTCTATTCTGCGTGCATCATTATGTTTGATGTATCCTTGTGTGGAGGCAGGGAGGCGAATGTACACTACCAACTTGCGTTTGTTATCGTCATCTGGGCTCAGCACCTCGTATGGTGTTGTGGAGTGCCATTGGGTACACATCTCGATCAACTCTTGCTTACATAACCAGTTATGTGGACAGCCGCCGTTACAATCCTGACGTGTTAACGCCCGCGGCTATGTTCTATCTCCTAGGCCTGCGTGACGCTATCTTTCAACAAGATAATACACCACCACTTGTTACTCTTCTGTCCTAATTTCTTCGATACAGAAGGTATTCGACTGTTGCCTTGGCCAGGAGGTTTTTCAGATCTCTCATTCACTGAGAGCATCTTGTCACGGCTGTCACTAGACTGGCAGGCCACCACTCACTAACCACTATGATTTACGAAAACTGGCATATAAAACCGTGCGTAATGAGTTACCCCTATTTGTCATCCAAATTCAGTTTGAATCAATGCCAAACCGTTGTTGCTGACTGAGGTGGAAGCTCTGCGTAGGGAATTCTGCACGCTGTATATCCCAAATCATCTACAACATTTAATCACATCATTCTGCTATTATACTGTATATGTACTTGTGCAATAAATAGGATTCTGTTATTTGTTTTCCTTACTGATGTAGCATTTTTAATGGCCAACAATTATTGAATTCTCAACATATATTTGAAAAGGTAAAATTAAAAGTGAAAAGACAAACAACATACTAAGTAATTATCATCATTAACCGAGAATTAGTTGACTTTTCAAGGGGAACAAACTAACTTCCGATGAATTAACAATAATGAATAAATGCGAAAGTGTTTTGTCTTTTTCTTAAGTAAGTATTATGACAAAAAGAGCTTTTTAGAAAGATGAGTTCATTAAAATTGCTACTTAGAAGTCTGTAAAAAATTGGCTGTATTGTAAAGTTTTAAAATCAATTTTAAAATCGGAATATAATTCTTATAACAGTGAGTTTTATTTATATAATAGTGAGTTTAATTTTTCTTTCTTGAGAAAATTGTCCTCCTTAAAAATATATATCTAGCTACATACGCTGTATATACGCACATTAGTGTGCAAACGTAAGCAACCTTTCAGATTTTTGCTGTAATTCAACGAAACATCAACTAGGAAACATGTATCTCATACTACAGCGGTACACTATAGTACTTGAAGTTGAAGGATGAGGAAAGTAAAGAAGAAAAAAAAGATAACAGAGCGCATAAAGCACGGGACGAATAGCAAAAGACTTTGTATACAGAATAACGTTGGTACAAAAAAAAAAAAAAAAAAAAAAAATCCTATCTGGCCGGAAGGAAGACAACAAACAGAAAAGCCTTAGAAAGAGGTATAACCTCCCAAAATACAATGGTTGCGTTTCACCGTTTGTCGATACTCAACACCTGACCTAACAGTTCTTGTGGTCAAGTGTTTCAATTGTCTGGTGTAAGATTATGCCGCCAGGCGTCTTCCTAAAGTATACGACACGTGTTCACTGAGATTTATGTCAGGGAAGCACACTGACCATTCCATTCTGTGGATATCTTCACTTTCCAGGAGCTCCTCAACAGCATGTGCGGCCGTGCATTGTCATCCATAAAAACAAAGTCGAAACCACCTGAAAAAGATACACGTGGGAGATGATAACTTCACCACAGTAACCATCTCCGGTAAATGAAACTCTATCGAAAATGTAAAGCTCCGTCCCTGTTCATCATAGTGTCTCCCATACGAGCATACCTGGTCCACCCCAAAGTTCTTTCTCCCTGATGTTAGTGGAATGAAAGCGTGTCCCTACCTCCCTCCATATCAACTGGAGCCGAGAATCGTTTGTCAGACTGAAACGACTATCATCGTCAAAGAGGACATGAAACCATTAATGAGGTGCCCAATTTTTCAGTTTCAGCACTACTGTAAACGGGCTCTTGTTTCAGAAGAACCCCTAAAAATTAGCTCTTCCTTCTTCTTTTATGTTGCCCTGCACTGCGCCTGACTCCTTGCGTTCTGCGAGCCATGGGGGTACTCTAACACCATGGTGCTGATATCTGCATATGCGTCATCTTTGTACTGAGTTGGGTTTTCATTGTATTTATCGCAAAAACCCCTTTGTTAGCAATTTCACATTTGTGTGTTGAAAAATGAATTTTTTGCTTACGTTTTGCACACTAGTGCGTATATATATATATATATTATAATATATGTATGTATGTATGTATGTATTTAAATGCCTAGATTTCAAACTTTGCTTGTCACAGCAAGCAATTCTGTTATGATTAAGTTATGCAGTATTTAATGTTCATGAAATCTGTCTGCAAGTTTTTTTCCTTAAACACTGATTCTAGACATACATTTCGAATTATAAAGTTTCTCAGAATAAGGTAGAGAATTTTATGAGAAAACTTTCAGTGCCAAGGATACAAAACTGGCTTTTTATATAACCACTGTAAAACAAAAATTCAGATGAGTAAATGTTCATTCTGTTAAACTGAGTTACCGGCAAAAATTTTCGTATATTTCCGTGTAATATTAAAAAAATACCGATGATTATATTTTATGGTAGTTAATATAGTCTAAACCTTTTCACTTGTGCTCACCACATGCCTTCGTGGTGTAATTGGTAGCTCATCTTAATAACCATCGAAAGAACTATAGTCTGAATAGCGGTGAGAGTCGCAGATTTTTCATGTTTCAAAAAATCTAATAAACTGTATAAAAGGTAAGCATATAACATCCCGCAAAACTCACGGAGACGAGCACTAATAAATCAATATGTAAAAAAGTAGAATTAAATAATGATATTCATCAATGGAAAATAATGAAAATTCAAGTTGAGTGATAATGGAAGTGAGATACATTGTCGTATCATCTTCAGGGGAACTCAGGGTGTTTTGGGAGACCACGATTCTAAACTTTTAGATTTTACAGCATGTAAAAAGTAATTAAGAGCAAAAGAGTTTTAATCAAATGGTTGAAGCGTAGAATTGTAAACATAAGATGTACAAGACAAAACTCTGCTCCCAGTATGGAGAAAAAGAGAATGAATTATTTTTATTAAACGTAGTAAAGCAAATGTGTCTATACTATAAAAAGCGTTTACGAGGAACAACTGAATAAATAATGAAGATTTATATGAAACAAATGGATACATACAAGTAACTACAAAATTATATAAAAGAATCAGTACAACTAAAGGATATAAATATTTCGTAAAGACAGAAAAAGAGCATATATGTTAAAATTATTACAATCTTCTTTAGCTGATTAAATGATATTCAGCTGTGCAATGTGTAGTAACGTAGCTGAATGCATTGGTCAAAGGGAGAAATTAAAGGCTGCATTGCAGTGTGAGAACCAATTTAACTGATTTAGTTAAAAATTTATTAGAAATTAAGAATCATGTATATCAATAATTACTTGAAATCAAGTCAAACGAAATTCACAAGTAATAAAAAATAACGCATGCAAATGCTTGTATATTAATGCACAACGATGTAATCCTCAGCCATTAATTGTTATATTCGGACAACCAATAGTAAGAAATATTTATTCTCTCTTTCCAGGGTCTGAGCCATGGATTACTGACGTTGTGGGACATGCTTTCTTATTTGATCATATTTTTTGATATTGGAAGCACTGTGTACTTCGTAATTAAACTTCAGGTTAGTGATCATTTCCTTAATAATGATTAAAAGAAATATTGCATATTTTAATATTAACTTCTGAATCATGTAATGGAAAATCATATATTGATATAACTCTTTATTATTTCTCCGATATGAAGTGCGCATAAGTCTATGATCTTGATTTAGTTTAAGATAAAATGTCTCCCTTAAAGATTAAATAACAGAAAAGATACTTTTATCTCATTCATACTGTTAAATAATATAGTGCGAAAGAATGCTAATTCTTAATGAAAACTGCGAAATTATTTACTATTTTGTTTACCTTCATCGTTGGAAAGGAAAAGAAAATGCTATTATAAAATCAAAGAAGAATAAAGTAAGAAAAAAGTACGATTATAGTAAAAAAACAGTGTTACTCTCAAACGAAAATACTATTATAGTATACACTATATTCAAAACTTAAAAATGAGTGAAATGTTTGGCTGTACAGAGAAAATTGCACATGAATGGAAATAAACCTGATAAGTTATTTATTTCTCGATATCTAACACAAAGTAACAACCAACAAAATTTTGGAAAAAATAAATCAAAGCTAGCAAACCTTTAACCTAAAAGTTTCACATGTTTTGTGCTATCAGTACTTCATCATTTGAAGAGAAAATCTCGTGTAATTGTCTTTTCAATGTAAAGTACCTCGGAAATCATGCCGCGAATTTTAAGCCATATACATTGGATATTCTAGAGTTAAACGACCATTTTCAGAAAGTGCTGGCAATCCCACAGCAGTAACATTCAGTTATGCTTTGTCCTGGAGCAAAACCACCATTTCTTAGGCAGATATTTTTTTCTTATGGTTCCCTGCAAAAGGTTTTCAAGACTTTTCCCTAATAGGCTCAGGGCTTAATTTCTAAGATTAGAAGTGCCGGAGCCCCATGGAAGACCGTCAGCAAAGAGGAACAAGAGTAAAATAAAAACAAACCATTAATAATTTTAAAATTCATATTAGTTTATCAATTCATTAAAGCTGGTAATAATTCTTATAAATTGTTTATTTAATCATAAGATTCTACAATAATTATTTAATTACTGATTTATTAGATAATTCATCTTATTATTGAATACTTAAGATTGAAGTATTAATAATCAATTAATCTAATGTAAAGAGCTCATTGATTTTATTAACGATTTTTAATATAATTTTCTGTTAAATAAAATTTTCGAATAAAATTCAACTTAAATTGTTATTAATACTAAGAAGTGTCGCGCTTTTTATTCAGGCTCCGGTGCTTCCGGTAGAATTAGATTTATTACAAAATAACGAACAGTGGGCTCCGGCCGAATTTAGCTCTGATCGTAGGAGGGGGGAAAGTTTTTATCATCACAAAAATTAAAATACGTAAAATAGATGAGGAACATTCCAGGGCGAAACAGAAGAGGGTATGAGTGGGTGGAAACAAAATGAGGGGAATTGTGAAAGACAACGTCTTTTGACCGCGGCTCTGAATAATTATAAGCCATCAAGCAGATGTATGTCAGGGGTAAAATGAGTCCTGAATCTGACTCCTAAGGATGAATGTAAAGTTGCTGGTTACGCTTTTCCCCTATTAATGGATACTGTGGGAAGATGATGTATAGGACGTACTTGAGCAGTTTATCTCAGTATTTCACTTTTATTGTACTCGCTGTCACTTAAAGCACATTTAAGAACACAAATTTTCTTTCCTGCGATTATGAATAACTGTAAGCATCGATAACAATACACTAGATACGATGGCATTGGCGAGAAATTTACGCGTTCCTGAACAAACTCCCCCAAATTTATTACCCTTCTTAAAGGAAAAGGTTTTCGAATGTCAGTGAGGGAACTTTACTTGAACGTCTCATGTTCTCATGAGTTCGTATTTCTAGGGAAATAAAGTATTACAAGGTCTGCTTATTGTTAAACTAAAACGTTAGGAATTCTAAATTTTTTCCCTTTAAATTGTGATTCAGTTTTATAAAAAAGAAGTACCGGAGCTCATCTTATTTAGGGCTCCGGTGGGCTCTGGCGCAATTTAAGCACTGAATAAGCTACAGTTCACTATCTTCTCTAGATTTGCAGTGGCGACATCTGTAGCCGCAGATAAATTGCCAGAACATGCTTTATAAATCACTCGTGTGTTACCATTTTGAAGTGCCTCCATCATTGGAATACTGAAGCATGGTTGAATGTTTGATCGCCATACGCGTGTTGTAGCATTTCAAGTGTTTCATTACGGCTGTTCCCAGTTTAACCTAATTTCAATCACGTCTCTACCGTGCAGTTATACAGACATTTTTCTAATACTCTATGGCAAAACCTACCAGATATTTCCATTAGTTGTAACCCAAAACTGGAAGCCATTGCAGATTCAAATGCTGCTTCACGAAATTCAGTTCATTGTTGTCATGTTTCATAAAGGGCAGAAGAAGTAAAGATAGTTAACATACTTTTCAATAAGATTTTCCATTTAAGGCAATGAAACTTTATAGCATGATGTAAATGGATTGATTTCCGAATAAAGCCATAAGAAGAAACAACTTTATAGAACGAATTTAGATTGCTTTTGGTTTTTTAAGAATAAGACCTAATGCTAGATGTTGTCGAAATGCTGGAAGTTTTTAAAGAGAAACAATTAGTTCATTTGAAATGAACTCTGTAAAATCATAAAATGTTTTCAAAAATTATGTTTTTTATATTTTCTTAGGATAGTTTATCTAAGACCGCTGACCTCTTTGAAGAAACAGAACCTACGAAGACTCTCACTTATTTAACGTTGTTAGTAGCCTTTTCAAAAGGTGGTATTTTACTCATACTGAACGTAAGTACCTTTTAATATATACTTATGATGATGCTATAAATTCATAAATAACCGCAAACGTTTCTGCTGCATATATGCGTGTAATTGTTGTAAATGTAAGAAACAATTTTCATACATTACAGCTTTAAGCATCTAAACACGTTTTGTAGAGCTGAATATATTAGTTTTAATAATGAACTATTTAAATAACTTGATACAAAAATTTTGAGAGTTCGCTGTTCGAAGGTGGTATTTAAAGGGTATTATTAGCTTTCAGAAAATTTTATCAATTTTGTACTATTAAAATTTTTTGATCATTAAATAGATAAGTGAAAGTTCACTTACCTTCTAAATAGGGCTGCCCTGAACTGCCTTCTTTTTCAGAAGGTATAACCAGTAATAGAGAATGAGTTAGAGATATTGGATTTCCTGTATTTTTTTATTGCTTTTACTTTCTGTAAAGGAGTCAATATTCAGATCAAATGTCAGTTAGTCGTAGTTGTGTCTTTCTGGGAACTGCATATATCCAGATATATTACAGGTGTGGAAGCTTGTGACACGATTGAGCCATCACTCGTTCAGTAACGATTTCCCTAAAATGCTTCTTTTGACTTTGGGGTTCGATAAAATGAATGCTGAAAAGGACAGGAGATGAAAGAAGTGTGGAGACTTTTGTTCCGATGCAGTGATGATTTTGAGAGGTAGTTCCAGGGATAAGATTTCAGATATGCAGCCATGAAACAAGTGAAACAAATATGATGACAGAAGTATAAAATACCACACTAGTGACAAGTAGAGTCAAGAAGTAAAACCAAACTATGTACGACATGAGTATGCCCATGAAAAATTCAAAATATGCAATCTTGTGCACCGATATAAATTTTTAAGCACTAAGAGCACAGTACAGATAATAACATTGATGTAAGGTAAAAATAAATGTAAAGCAAAACCCTGTATATAGATCAAATATGTCAAATATGACTACAAATTAAACATCAAAACACCAGAAAGAATAGAAATATTTATAAATATGGTGTAATAAATTCCCAATTCGGAAACAAAATTATGGTTACCTAATAGATGCGCAGTGAATGGTCTAATAAGCCTACCATCTTCCAGTACTAGATAACTGATTATCGATGAGTAATTAAGAGCAGAGTTGTTAATTTTCTTAACCTTTCATTAGTATTTCTGATGCGCTTTCTAATTAAAATAGACCTGATATTCATTATGTATTTCTTTTGCTCCTAAGGTCCAGACCTGATTTTCAACCAAGGGCAAGAGACGATGTATTGCTATTTTACATCCTCTGAATGCATACTGTCCTGATCCCAACTAAAATGGTGGCTAACCCCCAGAGATTTAGCTAAATAAGCTCTTGGTACTTCCTCATTAAACGAATTAAGTTTTTCTGTTATTACTGGGAAGGCTCTATTATTGGTTTCTATTAGGTACATGACACAATTAACTTTTTAGCAGGTGATTTTTGCTTGGGACAATACCTGACTTAACTTGTTAAACGTTTGGCGGTAAGGTATGCAATTTCAATACCTCTCATTTTTCAATACCTCTCATAAGGTATCCTCTTCTTTCTTCATTTGGACAATCTTCATTACAAGATCAGATAGTTTCTTTAGCTTTTTAACAATTTGTTTAAAAATTTTATCAATTTTGTACTATTAAAATTTTTTGATCATTAAATAGATAAGTGAAAGTTCACTTACCTTCTAAATAGGGCTGCCCTGAACTGCCTTCTTTCCTTCTTGTCGGTATCCGTTTCTATGATGAAATTCGATTCACTGTGGAACACAGCTATAAACTTTTTTAAGAAATTTTAATTCATATGAAAGATATCTACAAAATATTTACAAGTTATAATGATTACAAGCATTATGCATACGGAGACGGTCTATCGTTATACATCTGTTAGACGCGTCAGCCGTTCAACTGACTTCTTTTAGTCTCTTTCGCCAGAGAGCGTCCGTGGAAGCAGAGTTCTAGTTAGCAAACGCGACACTTATTGTATATTAAAGGCTCTTTATCTTGTTGTTTGACTTCTGAATCAGCTCTTTATCTCCTTCGCTGTTTTTGCTTTAACCGTAGGCTGGTGTTATGAGACATCTAATTCTTCATTTATCATTTCGCGATCGTCATTCTCGACTAATTCTTTGATTTCTATTCTTTCCATATTTGAAAAATCATTCGCCGCTTATTGCTTTTGCAGTTTGTACGATTTCCTTGGCTTCAAAATTCTTTAAAATTGTTGACAACTTCTGGCCAGAGTTGAGGGCAGTAAGTATTAATTGTTGATGAATTCGCTTGCTCCCATGCGAGCGTAATCGTTTCTATGCAGAGTTTTGCGTGGAATTGCTTCCAAAATGCCATTAGTAGGTCATACTTCCTTTTCTAGTGCTTTATTTGCAGAGACTTAAACATGTTTGACATAATAGGCTTTTAATACTCTTATGATTACTTCATTCATTGGATGGGTTAAGGAAGTAGTGTTTGATGAAACCTCTACATTTGAATTCAAAGCTGTAAGGAGTTCAGCACCGTGTCCTGGAGCATTATTGAGAATAAGGAGAACGTTTTAATGCTCAGGTTTTGCAGTTCTAAGCAATGTCTGACTTCTTTAATGAATGAATTTTCAAACCAGTCATTAAAGAGGACTATCGCCCGGCAGCGGATGCTTTACAGTAATAATAATAATTCTCGCGTTGGGCAAATTAAATGGAAACATTTAAAATAACGTTTTTACGTAAAATCGCTTTTTGCAAGTCCGAGTTCGGCAAGGGTTTACGGTACTTTCATAAAACACAAATGTGTTGTGAAAAATTACAATTTATCAAGAGCTTAGACAAACACTTCAAGATTACATAAGGTATTATTTACTATGAGGGATATACAAACAAGCGTAGCGATGTAGCTTTAAATCGTACCTGCATAAAGTTAACTGGGCTATTGTAATAATTCGTCCACCTTTTTCTATTGTAATTTTGCCGTGAGCTTAAGTATTGTGAGTATTTGTCTTAACTCTGCCCTAAGGTGGCATCTGCCCTAAGGTGGCATCTGCCCTTTGAGTGCTTGGCTGTAATTTGAATAATTGAGCTCAATCCTGTCAGGGTAAAGCTACGCGTTATGACACAAAATTCTCGCTGAGATGACTATTTTTCAACCAATGATTAATAATATAAAGTTCAGAAGGGCTTTCGAAACACAGGTACAAAGACACTGATAACGTACGCGTCTTTGTTAACGTGAGCGAATTAGTTTAAGCAAATTTAATATATTCTCCACCTTGTTCTATGTTTTACCTATAATATTATTGTCCGCGATGTTTTCGGCTGTAACCTTTTGATTCAGTATTGTACAAACGAAACTGTCGAACCGATTAAAATTTGTACAAATATGGAAAGAAGACTGTGAAAATTTTACCATGTAAATTAATGCTTATGACTACATCTCAACTACTTGTTCGACTATTTCATAAAATTAAAGGTAAAACATAGAAAAAATGTGGAGAATATATTAAATTTGCTTAAACTATTTCGCTCACGTTAACAAAGACGCGTACATTATCAGTGTCTTTATACTTGTGTTCGAAAGCCCTTCTGAACTTTAGATTATTACTCATTGGTTGAAAAATAGTTATCTCAGCCAAAACTTGGTTACAGCCGAAAACATCGCTGCAAAAACATCGCGGACGAAAACATCGCAAGGAGAAAACGATATGGTACAAAACGTCGGGGTGAAAACAATGCAAGGAGAAAACGTCGTGGTACAAAACATCGGGCGAGAAAACACCTCAAAGAGAAAACATCGCAATTCTAAAATAGCTTGGTCGAAAATAAAGCAGTTCATAAACTTCGCAGTTTAAAAACTTCGTCGTCGAAAATATCGTGGTGAAAATTAAAGTACCTTCAAATCATCGCATGACGATAACATCGCATACATGCGTTTTTCAAATCGCATAGTGACATATTATGTAACTGACTGTCGTCATAACTAAGAAATCGGCATCCAAAAAATTGATTGCACGCTATACACGGAAATGTTAACGACACATTAAGAACAAGTGGAAACAAAAAATATGTAATTTTAATTAAAAAATATCAGATTAACAAATGTGAAAGAAAATAATTTGATTAACTAAGCAATTTTTATAAAGGTAACCTCATGCAGTTATTTATCTTTCTTTTTCTAAGCATTTTTAGATAGCATTTTTCATGAAAAATTATCAGTTAAAGTTTATAAAAAAGTTTAATTTTTGAATGACCTTTGATAACTATAAATTTAAAAATGATATTAAGCTTTATAAGTTGCATTAATTTTCTGCTCATTTTAAATGCTTAAGTTTCCTTATTTTTTCAGCAAAAATTTATTAGTTCTTTCAAATATATAAGATACAGAAGTAAAAGAATACCTCTTTTCTTCTTGAGCTCTATTATCTGCATACGAACATGCATTTACAACTTTAAAAATCTGAAAACGCATGTGTGCGATATTATCGTCATGGGATGATTTGTAGAAACTTTATTTTTTATCACGATATTTTTGATGACGATGTTTTTGAACTGCGAAGTTTTTGAACCGCTTTATTTTCGACCACGATATTTTGTACCACGATGTTTTAGAACTGCAATGCTTTCTCCCACGATGTTCTGTACTACGACGTTTTCTCCTTGCGTTGTTTTCTCCGCGACGTTTTCGTGCGCGATGTTTTTGCCGCGATGTTTCCGGCGGATACCAATCAAAATTTGCATACTGGTTGATACTTTTGTTTGAATATTCTTCTTTTCTTAATTGCATGTTAAATGAATATTTCAGGTATACCTGGTCCATGTAGTTGGCAGAAGGAAGAAAGAAATTGATCATGACAACTCGACAGTAAGTTTAGGAGCTCTAATGCATTTAATACTTATATCGTAGATTTGAGTAACTTTTATTGCTTTTTCTTACGCACAAAAGATTAAATTACCATAAGACACTTTACTCTGAAAATTAATAATTTAAAACAATCCATATATTTCATTCTCAACCTTGCTAGAAACGATAACTGCATGTAACTCCTTGATCACAAAATACCAAGGAAGACCCATAAACATTTAGCTAAGCATTGTATAAATTTATCCAAACATAGAGTAATAACCCTTTTTTTCGTAATCGTGCAGATAGACTCAGAAATTTGAAACGAAGGAATTAAAATCAACAAAAATGAAATTGAAATGATCAACTTCACGAGCATTTTATTCTCTGCTATAACATAAAACGTTTCATTGATGAATGAGAATATTCCACTATTGATCTATTTGAAATTCTCATGCATGTGCTTGCAGGAGGCTAATACTAACATTTTCTAGAAATTATAACATGCATTAGAAATAAATGGTATACTTAAAAATGGAAATTGCATCTATACTTCTGCTAAACGCAAGAAAAAAATATTTATTTCAAAGCAACCTACAGTTATAACACTTTACGATCATGTAAGAAATGAGTTCAGCTCACGACATATGCAGAAAAATTAAGCAACCCCGTTTAATTGAATGTGATATTCCTTGCTTCATTTGATTAAAAAAATAATTCCTTAACTTTATATAACTTCCTCACGTCTTTGAGATTAAGGGGAGGTAGTAGCCTTACACCTTCAAATAATCGAATTTTTAAATTGATTTTTTAAAAAATGTAGTACACTTTGTACAGTTGCGCGCCTCCAACCTACACGTAACAAATTGGTGACTGCTGAAACTGGGAATTAGACAGAGTCTTGAGAAGGGTTTAAGTCCCTTTTTATTCAACTTTAGAAATTACAAATGCGTGCTCTTGACGCTCACAAACTACACCGACCCGGCGGTAAAATAAAAATAAGAAACTAAAAGAGATACTAAAAGTCACTAACTACGAGGCTCTCTAAACGTAACTAACCTCACCGCGTTTTACAATACCGCTGATACTTCAGGAAACTCTGACTATTACGTTGAAAGATTAACAATTTGCCTAGGCAAGCACACAGGCCGAAACGCGTGGTTCTTCAATTTCTGACTAACTACCTCCGCGCTCGTGAAGTAAGAAAAGCACTCTTCGAACTTGTTTCTTTTCTATTTAACTCAGAATACTTCCGCTGATAATTTGAATCCTTGCGCGTTCTACTAAAATTTACATACTCTGGCATTGGTAGTTCCAGGGGAAAGTAAGGCTTGACAGGAAAGTTAGTTTAAACTTAAAATAAATGTTAGTTAAAATGAATATAAACCCTACAACTTTAAAAATTAATTAAAAAGAAATCACAATAAATTTGAAAGAAAATTAGGTCACATTTGCAGAAAATGCATTTAGAAATGCTACTCTCACTACTTTTTTCCTATATGACACATAACAGTATCTCGGATGATAATGTAATAAAGGGTTTGTTGCGGTTCGTGTAGGCTATTATTTTAATAAATTTTAGTTGACATCTTCTTGAAAATATGTGATGAATGATTACGAGATGAAAATGAAATCATGTGAAGAAGCGTGATTAATTTCACAACTCTATCTATGATTTTGAGTTTTTTAATTTTATTTAAAAATGTTTTATTATGATTTCTTTATACATTTTTAATAATTTCCTTAAATGCCGTATGTCAGTTTAACAATAGTTTCCAACACATTGACTGGTGTCAGGCTGCACGTAATTCAATTATTGATAACTTCAGACATGCTGATATCATTTCTCTGTTATCGTGAATGTTATAAAAATGTACTTTTACTGAACTGTCATCATGTGCTCTACTTAAAAAAATATTCCAGAGTCAAAATTCAGATGGTAACAAATCATTCCGTTTATTTTTTTGAAGTACCGTCCCAGGGTTTCTGGATTTTAAAAAATGTCGTAATTATTACTACGCTTAAGATTGTTATTAATCTTAATTCAGGTAGTATAGCACAATTAAAATTAATCGAGAAATTAAGATGAGAACGTATAACTATTGCATGAATACAGATTTAAGTAGAACGGCGGACGAAACTGACGAAAATTAAACGAAATTAAAACCTAGTTTAACTTTAGATGTTTATCGCGAAAGCTGTTTTTAAATGACGAAAACACAATGCTCTTTAAGCATTCGTCGAGAAGAGACCCATTAATCGTAACTCATTGATCGTTCAAACCCATCGATCATTTAGCTTACTCATCATAGATAATGTTGCCCAAACGTCCACCGCAGGGTGTAGACCGATATTACACTTCATAGAATGGGACATCTATGCCTTCTCCGGGATTAGATCCGAAATCGACGACAGGAAGCCAGCACCGCTAATAACCATACCAAGCAGGTCGGCTCGTTGAGAAAACACAATGAGAAAATATGTTGCAAATGCAACATTTAATAAGAAGAGCTTTATGAACCTGGATCAATTTAATTTCACTTTTATTGATTTAAAATGCATATATATATAATTTTTAGAATTTTAAAATTAAAATTTTAGTTAAAAATTGAACCACCAAAGACTAAAAAAAAAAATTAAAAAAGATATTAAAAGCTTTAATATTATTAAATTTACTTCATTGTTAAAAATGTGTTAATACGCATGTGCATGCATCAAAACCTAAAAAAAATTTCATAAAATAAAAATTTTATGAAAAATATTTTTGGCCGATTTAAAAAAAATTAACAAAAAAAAAATAAAAAATTTAGGACGTTCTAAAATATGTTTAATCAAAATATTTTTTTAAATTGACAATAAGAAAAATAATCGAAGAGTTAAAAGTCGTGCTTTAGTGGAAAATTAACTGGTTGGATTAGGATGCTTTTGGATTGGATTATTTTATTTATTAAAAAAAGCCACAAATGATAATCTATTCATGCCTCAATTGGATTAAAAATTTTTTTTGGCCGATAATTTAACAGGGTAAACTTCCAAAGGACCCTTATCGCCTTAATATTTACCCTTTGACATTCATTGAGGAAATTGCATTTTCAAAGGTGGAAACTGACCACGGGGCCGGGGAAAACCTCGTAAAACCACAAAACCACAAAACTACAGCCCGTTCGCGTGATTCGAACCTCGTTCACGTGGTCAGCGCCGCTCGGCCGCTGGTGGGCCCGATGCGTTTTTATGAACGGTAAATTCTGTTATTTATTTTTCAGTTATGACTTACCTTCAAGCTGAGAATTTTGTAAAATATTCATGCCAATTCTTATATTAAAAGTAAAGTTCCCATATCTGCAACATCTTGCTGATGAAATGTAAAAATGTCTATAAAAATATGTATAGCCTCTTTAGTAATTCAAAACAGCAAAATATATACATTTTTCGCGTTTGAAAATTTCTCTCTTCCCTTAAATTATATCACAGATTAGTACATTTAATCTGCTTCTGTAACTACTTCATATAGAAGAGGCTTTCAATATAGTATAATAACAGGATTAGGATTTTTTTCTTTTCCTTTCGTATTAAATAATGATTTGAAGTTTTGCATTGTACAAGTACGTACAATGAGTGACTAAAGCATGCTGCAGCATTAAAAACTTCGCAGCTTATAAGGATTTAAAATGCTAAATGCATTAAAAATTCAAAATAAACATACTTGAAATTCTCTGCTTGTACTTTAATGATCTATGCAAAAAATAAAAGAAAATAATTTCAAAATACAAGTAAATTATAGCTGTAATCAAAACTAAGTATTAAACTATCCACAAAAAAGGTTATCGGCCCACCAGCGTAAGAGAAAAATATACTTAAACATTTAATCAGCAATATTTCTCTGCGTTGCCTGTTGCATGTATGACACATTTATTCTTGAAGACATTGATTTGATTAGGTTTTGGATCAATTTGCTGTTAGTTTTTTTCCCCCCATTTTGTTTGAAGGCGCATTTTCAGTCGATTTTTATTCTCTACAGAAATTTCATTTAACCCTTTCCGGCACACTACTCTTTAAAGTTGGAATTAAAAAAAAAAAAAAAAAAAATTTAGGCTCTCTATTTAGGCATCGGAGACTATGCAGGTATAATTTTACAAAGATTGCACAAATCGTTTCCATTTTGTGGGTATGTCCAAAGCGAACACACTGAGCCGCACGAGCTGCGATAGGTAAGCATTGTTGGGAAGCATGTATTAAAGTAAAATACTTTGTCTATGATTTAAAAACAGTAGAATCTGATATCTGTAGCAGATTTAGCATAACCCAGGGTGCACCACGGGGAGGCCTGCTACTCTACACCCCCCCAAAAAAAACGGGAAAAAAAGGAAACTCTCATTGCTCCGGCAACGCTGAGTCTTTTCCGAGCCATTTACACAATTTTAAAATTTATAAGAAAAAATAATTAAAATACTATAATATTTACAATTAATTATTGACTAGAAAAAAATAATTATTAAATATATATAAAAGTAAAAATCTACAAAAATTAAAGCTAAGCAAACTACGCACGATGAAAGCAAGAGGAAAAAAAGGGTCTGCTTTCGCTGAAAATCAAATAGCTAAGTGAAAACAAAGCACCCGGGTCTTCAAAACCCAAAACAGAAAAGAATAAAAACAAATATAAATAAATCTGCGCTCTCAGTCTCCCCCATGTTTAAATCACGAGGCCAGATTCTGTGACTCACTCCCACGTGACAGGCGCTACCAGTACAGTGTGTTCAGTCCGAACACACCATACACTGAAGCCTTCATTATACGCAATATTTCAAAGATAAAAATTAAAAGTAATACAGAATAGGCAGATTAGCATACGAACAACAAAATTATATAAAGATTTTTTTCATTGATATTCTTTATATTTAAAAAAAAATCTGAAACATTTCTTTGAAAAATCAGTGTCTTAAAAAACAGAATATATCTCAATTTAATCATTTGCTTGTGTGGCGCTGCCATCTATTATTCATAAAAGAGATTAAAAGTAACCATTAGTGTAGTTTTCGTGATATTTACCGATTATTTTCAGTGTCTAAAGAGGGAATATTTTTGGTATGTTCACACCGAACACACTGCGCCGGAAAGGGTTAAGGATTTTTTCAGCTTATAATGTTCCTCACTACTTGGACTATGCTGAACATAGGAACCTAGTGGGAACTGTGAATTGTGTAGCGGCTTATCGCTCGGTTCACGTATATAACGACAAAGTCTAGAGAAGGGTTGAAATACCCTTTTATTCACTCAAAGAATTAGTACAGTCGGCACCTTCTCAAGCGTGCAGGGATTCCTCCCTTCGGGCTTCAAATCAAGATAAGAAATATAAAAAACTAATCTAATACTTAACTAAAGTGAACTGACTTAGCCGAAGCTAGGCACAAATATCTAACGTAGGTGGCCCTTAATTTAATTTAGCCGGCGATTATCAACAAGCCAGTACAATACGGCTGAGCATAGTAGGTTTAATGTAAAAGTAATCTGACGGCAAACACGAGCCACTAACAACTCCTAAGCTCTCCTACTGAAGTATGCTGAACCTTCCTTAAATACTCCTTCTATTCCATTTACGTTCAACGAAATTCTAAAAACTCATTTTGGTAGAGACTTGCAAGTGGAAAAGAAGAATTGAAAGGAAAGGGTTTCAAGATAAAAAATAACTGTTATAAAATTAAAATACACCTTACAAGCTCAACCAGCAAATCTTCCGTGTGTTCATATTTAGAAAAACACGTATGCAGAACCTTGTGTTTCGAAATACATTCCGAAACACCCGGCTCTGCATACTAGGTTAGAGTTAATATACGAGTATCTCAAATAGAAGCTTTAACTTCATATACAAAGCCGTGTGTTTCGGATAATTTTGCTGCTGGAAAATGAAATCGTCTTTTAACCTTAATTTATCAGTGGTGTTTACCAATTTTTTAAAAGTATACATATTGATCAATAACGCTATGAATACACTCATGTATACCCAGCCCAGTCGCTGATAGTAAAAGTTTGAGGATGCATTTCTCAAACTTCTATCGAACTTTCCAAGACTTAACGGTAGAACAAATATTGCTTTGATTAAGCTCTGATCTGGGTCTTGCTTGTATTAAGTAATTCGAGTTTTGATTCATCTCTGAAAAAAAAAAAAAAAAAAAAAAAAAGACTATACATATTCTGATCTCTATTAACAAACGTTTCCACGAAATCTTTTCTAGTTCTCTGACCACTTACACAAATCCACATTTTCTGTCTGACAGCCATTCCTTTATAGTTATTATCTCGTAATAGTTGACGAATTATTTCAATGCGTAAAATTTTACCAGAAATTACAGTAACTTTAGAAAAAAATTCCTAGCTGGTTCATCAGGATTTGCTTTGGCATGCTTAACAGTTTGCCTCTCTGAGCTATGATTCAGAATTTTTGGTTTCTCAGTTCTGTGTTTATTGTTTAAGTTTTCTTTCTGACACCTTTCCATTACACTCTGCACTGCTCTTAATAGAATTGCAGTGAATTTGGGATTTTGTCTCTGAGATAAATTATTTTTTCGTGTTGATAATGACATTTCTTTCAAATATCTGTACTGTTTCCGCCATTTTGAAATTCAAAAGAGCTTCTCCTCACTTGAAATTATTTTAAATAAGTAATGTATTTGTACAATTACGTAACGTGGATTTTGCTTCCTGATAGCTTATGATTACTAAGATGGGAAATTTGCATTTTGTATAGTGGCCAAGAAGTTTTATGTAGCTAGTTTAGTTTATATTACCGTTCATTGGCATTATATACGGGAATTTTGCATTAATTTATTTTTAAAATATTAGAATCTAAATAGAAAACTTCATATAAATTATTAGTTTTTTTTTCACTGCATTTAGGGTTTTAAATCCTTTAAAGTTTCCCGTCTTATAAGGTGGCCGAATAATTTTGTGACCCACTATAGTACACAGTATTCTTTAATGTTTAATTCAGCAGACGTGATCAGGAGTTATTTTAGTTGAACTGTCTTAAGATTAACTGTGTCATTTAGGAAAACTATGAGAACTTTTATAAGTAGATTTAATAACAAAGACATACAGAGCTTTACTTCAGCAAGCATTCAAAAATTCTTTGTTATTTCCTCAGATACTTCAGCATCAAAATAACAGGTACTTTAACAATTTAATTCAAAATTAGGCACATTTTTATATTTGCCAACAACAGCTCAAATGTAAAGTTTTATTTTTAAATGTACGAATATTAATAATATGTTTTGGAAATGTGGACTTACTTTTTATCTAACAGTAGTTTATTCACTTTGGCATTTTCTGAATTTTTTTCGGCTATCAGACCATTTCAGCTAGTTTTAACTATTATCTTTTATTGCACTAGTTACGGTTCTTATTAAAAATTCGATTGCTATTAAATTAAAGTGTTGTTATACGAAATTTATATGAAGTCAAAACATAGCACATAAGTAGTAGTAAGTTTCCACTGTGCAAGAAATAATTTTTTATTTAATTAAGGAATTATGATTGCTGATTTTTTATTAATTTTTTTCAGCTTACACTTTACATCTTATCACAGCTAGCCAGGTGTGCTCGGACTGCTGAAGAGACACGACCAACAAATCAAGTAACAGAACCCCCACCGGCTTACAATAGCAACTATCCGTCTTACTTACCTTATACAATTATGGCTCGGTCAAATGAAAGTAGTGGCTCCAGTTGGTCTCTTAGCTGCGGAAATGCCAAAACTATGGACTCAGGAGTACCAGAATCTTATATCCAGCAAAGTAGTACAAGAAATCAATGTTCCCCAAGTGCAGCTACAGGTTTCACTGCTGTCCCTCTTAACTACCAGACAACGAATGATAATTCCACATTACTCTATTGACAGTGTTAATAGCACAGTAATTTTATTAAAAGCTACTAAGCCAGATTGCTATTATAAATATCGTAAAATCAAACAAATATGTCTTAAATTTCGCATTGTCATAAAAATAAAAAAATAAAAAATATGCTCCCATTTAATGCTCTTTAAATAAGCATTGGAAAGAATTACAGTTCACAGATTTTTTTGTATGTTGTGGGATAATAGCTTTACGGGTAATCTGAAGCATTATATAAGACTGTATTTAAAATTAAGTGAAATTAATGTTTTGATATTATTATGTACTACACAGAATGAGTAGAATTTTTGAAAAAAGAAAGGAAAGTTAAGAGCAAACATTTTCAAAACAAAGAATTCTTTGGAAAAAAAGTCTGCGTAGCTTAAAATAATTAACGAATTTTTGTCAGAGAAGCGCTGCAAGGTGACACTCAAACATAATATATTCTGTTCATAACTTTACTTTAGATAGGGTACGTTTTATGCTCATTAAATGTACATTTTTATAGTATCGGTACGAGTCCATGTCAAGCTTCCATATGCTGAATTTTAAGAACCCAATGTACGCGTACTAAAACATTGCTCGAACATAAGATAAATCAATAATATTCTCATATAGCGAACTTCGGAAGTTCATAGGCTCTCCATCTGAACTGTTAAGACTACGAATATAACATGAACTCACTTTCAGAGCTATCACAGATTTCTCCTTGATCACGAGTCATTCATAACTTTATAAGACAGACAGGGACTGATATTCCTTTTAATATTTTTATTATTTTCATGTGAATCTCACGGAAAAATTCGAGGTAGTATCATAAGGCTTTATAAAGAAGGAAAAGAAATTAACTTACAAGCTGAAAACTTCATATTACAGTGTAATTACTTCCAAGAAGAATTGTTCTAATAAAAATAAAATAAAACATAATAAAAATTTTAAATATGTTAATTTTTATTTTTTTTTTGTTTTTCAGATGAAAATAATATCCATTGCTGCCAACACATTAATCTAGATTTTTACGTTTTGATAAAATTAAAATTCAACTAAAATGAATGTCGGTATTTAAAAGTCTCTGGTGTCTGTTTCTGCATATAATTTTTGAAAGTAAAAGGATCATAAAAATGTTAAAGAAGTGTTTTACAGTTAAAATAAAACTTAGCAATAAAATTATATTGAGGGTTGCGGATCTATGTTTCATCAAAATTTAATTATAATCATTCGAATTTAGTTTGATAAAACAAAACACCCGAGGGAAGCCTTTGTGCAGGATTAGCTACTTCATTATGGTTTATATTTGCATTATACACAGAAAAACCGCGAAAACAACTGCATAACTTGTCCGTTCGCCGAGATTTGAAACCAGATCGAACTATCATTGTTCCGTAGTTCCACCTACTTCGCCCCTGATAGACACTGATTTTATTTTGAATGTAACTGGGGGTGTATAGGAAAACAAATATTGTACAGAAGTAATAGAAAAATTTTGAAGTCATATTATAGGGTGCTAGAAATGCATTTCTTTAACTACACTTATGGTATAAGCAGTTTTTGCAAAATGTTATTTGGAAGTATAGATAAAATAAAATTTTAAATGATTGACTTTCTTGAGCCTATGAACAACGCACATTTCGAAGATAAAAACTTCAGATTTCATCGATTGGCAGCCATGTGCTGTCATAGTTTTGATCTCTACGCTAAAATATAAACCTGGCTTTACCAGAGAGTATAATCACTAGAAAAGTTTCAAGGAAAAAGCGAAATATTAGGTTAGCTGAAATAATTACGGCGAAACACGCGAGAGCCAGATCCTCTTTTCTGAAGATATTCTAATGATTCTACCTTTCTTTCAGACATAACAACAAAAATAAGTAAACTAAATCTTTAACATCAAGACAAAGTAAAATCTGTTATTGAGATAATAAGGAAGTATAAATGTGTAAGTCAAAAAGAAATTTGTGGATAATTCAAATAAATTTTTTCCTCTTCACAAATTTGGAGAACTACTTCAAGAAATGTAAGAAAACTGTACAGATATGTTAAATAAAAATTCTACTGACATACAAATGGAAATAATTGATTTTTTACCTGATCTATAATTAACGATTAAAGACAGGAATATCACAGACCGTTTTCTGGATACTCATTGTGAGCTTGTTAAAATCAAAGTTCGAATTTAGGGTAATAAATGAACATCTGAACGCGTAGAGTAAAAGGGCAAAAGCTGGCTTGATCTTGATTGCATGAATTTAATCATAATATCATATATATCGGAGTAAATAAATTTGTGGAAAACATGCAGTGTCAGGTTTCCCATTAATAGGTGCTTTTCCTGTATTTAATTTGAATCTTATTGAATTTTTAATAAATAATCATACAAACTACATTCTTTTACACAGTGCTCACCATATTTTTTATAATTTATACATTATATGCGTTTATAGTTGAAATATTAAAAGTGCAATATATAATTGCGGCTCACCAAAGTATTTTAAATTCTAAACTGGCTCATGTCAAATAAAGATTGACCACCACTTCTCTGAAAGTAATTTTCTAGAAATTTAAACAGCTGTTTACCACGCTAGGTGACATATAGACCATAACGGCGGTACAGACTATATAACAGGTGACAGGTGACTGCAGGCCTGGAAACCCGCACGGCTTTACAAGACTACTCGGGTGTTGTCCAGGAACCGCAACTATCTAGAGAAAAACCCAATGGGGCCGCACCAGCGCGCCACACCGAGCCCCCAAACCCAGAGCCTAATCCTTACCACTTGCAGTTGTGCAGACCGAAACAGGGAAAATCCCGTCTGGTGCACAAGCATCCAACCGCCCAGGCCCCAGTGTTTATTGAATCCAAATATAAAAATTTACATGGTCATACAAGGGCGTGGTGGCTCAACTTTGGCCTTGTTATAATACTTGGTTAGGTTGACATGGCCTACAAGGGCATGGTGGCTGATTATATGCCTAGTTACAATACTTGGTTATTACATACTTAGCACACAGAGACATTCTGTTAATAATACAGTTCGTGATACAGTGCACGAGACGAGGCTTACATTATTGAAATTAACTTACTGGACTGAGTGCTATGCTGAAGCAATGAGATAATACAGAAGCAATGAACAATACATGAGCTATGAAACAATACACTGAATAACTATACATAAGCAATGAAACAATACATAAGTGATGAGACAATACACTAAATAATATACTGAAGCAATGAAACAATACATAATACTATTATACAATGTCGGGTACAACAATGCAAAACATGACATACTGATGAAACATGATGCAATGCTTTTGATATACTAACGATACAGGGTGCAATGCCTATACTATATACATAATGATGATACATTGACAAAATTTATTAATGTGCTTACTCAAATGAACATAACATTCGGTACACAACACTACACACTATACTGACAAAATATGACATATACCTAAGGAAATTTGCGTAATCCCAACTAATTTCTTGTTTTGCAGTATAATATTGCTCTATATCCACACATATTACTAAATATGGCAAATTATGTAATACTCATAAAATATGACAAAGCAGAATAGTTGAATATTATAGCAAAAAGTTATTAATTACAAAACAATAATAAGGTATTCCATAAGTAGTACAGTGTATGTTTTATTCTAGTTTATTGAGCTGTTAACTGCTCAAGTACGGAACAAATTTTACTGCCTTTATTAATTTAATAATTTGAAGTGCAGTGCTTAGTTTTGAGTCTGGCTAAATATCATCAAAAAATTACGTTTATATTATACAATAATCAAAAAGATGTTTTGTTTACAAAAACGATTTGATTATTAATTTTTATCAGTCAATACTCTGTACGAAATACAGGGGCTATTACTAGGGGATAATGTAATTCTTTTATAGATATTTTAATTGGTAATTTGTATGTAATTTATGTATCATATCTACTTGCTGTAATATACAGAACGCTGTTTCTGTGTGCAAAATTTATTGCTTCAAATGTGAAAATTTACTTCAATAATTTGTAAGTAATTACATTTAGTTTGATTATTTTTATGTGCTTTACTATATAGAAAGTGAAATACTGACTTTTTCACATATTCTATAAGGTATCATGATACTGGAAATTATGATATTAATGTATTCAAAATGACTAACCATAGTTTCCATATACTGCATATATATATAAGCTGTGGTTAATTCAAAGAACTGAAGCCCCTAAAATCTCAATAAAAATTACAGATTTTGTCACCTTAAACTGCTGGTCTGCTAACTACAATAATTCACTTTCAGTTTATGGAAAAATAACCAAAATAAAATGCATTTTTTAAAATATGAGCAGACAGGCTACTATTTTAATCTTAAAAGAAAATAATAGCTTAATACTTATGTGTTACCTCAATAATACTTATGTGTTATCTCAAACACCTTTGAAGAAATCGCCTAATTTTCGGAATGTGTTAAACTCTGGCAACCAGGCGCATTACGGTTAGTCAGGCAACCATACTCATAACAACCCTTCAGTCGAGCAAAGTCGCCATTTTTGCATGTATTCTTTTTGCTGTATTCCAACGGATTTCATAAACAAACTGTGATATTTTATGTTTTAAACTTAATTTTAAAGTATGAGCTTGTGGAATTCGCCAGGAATATAAGGAGCTGCGGTAAAATTTCTATCTACAGGAACACAGAATTTTGCCACAAAATCCCTAAAGGGAACAACGACGAAATGCATTTGGTAGACAGCCGATGTTACCAGAGTTCGTGCGATGCAGTGACTCTGTAATTCTCTGATGTTTCTAAGTGTAAATAGATCGCTGTATACTTGGGAAGAAAAATAGCGCAAAAACATATGGAAAGAGTTGGGGGAAAATGTAAGTATTTTATAATTTATGCATCACGTACTACTGCTGCGTGCGTTACGGGTTCGTAATGATTGAATACACACAGAACTGATGATCGCTTGATAAAATTTACTTTTCGAAAAGAAACACTTTTCAGTCCTGGAACTTTACACAAAGCATTCGTCCAGCTCTTCTCGGTATGGCAGAGCATAATCAGTAGTTACACATGAAACTACTGAGACTATTAAACAATATTCAATACAAAGTGCACCTAAAAGGAGAAGCTTTCACAGAGATCTCAATACTCCGATGTTAGCTCTGAACTAACAACTGAGAGCTGATGTTCTCTCCGGTCTCGTGTAATTTTCCTCCGACATCCAGAAATCTTTAGTACTTTCCGTTCCTTGAAATAACTGGAAAGCATATATGGTTACGCATATATATAAGAGTCAGATACGATTACAGTTACATATAGGGATCAATTAGTTATTCAATTAAGGCCCGTCCACACGAGGACGCTCCCGACGTAGTTGACGTAACTTTTTTGACGCCGGCGTAAATTCGCAGGACGCAGAAGACGTAAAACTGAGTACGCTCCTGTTCAGCTTTTCGCCCGCGACGCGCGCGTATAGCCAATAGCCGACCGAGTTCTTATCACGTGTCATAATCAGAAAAACCTTCTTGCTTACCCGTTTCAATATGGCGTCAGAGCCACACAGAGATGAGTTTTTGCTTAGAAATATAACTGTATACAGCAATAAAATAATCAGAACTGTTCACGCCATCTTCAGATTTCTCAAACCGTACATATTAGTATACATTTAAAAATTCTCATTAAAGGGGAAAACTGTATACTTATAAAGCAATGATCCGACCAGTATATCCATATGCTTCACCTATTTATAACACCGTAAGTAATAGGAACCTAAATAAATTACAGTTTCTACGAAATCAAAGTTTCTGCCTTACAAAATTCTCCTTAATTATTATAAATATTGGCTATATCATGTGTAATAAAAAGCTCTATAAATATCCCAATATTAAATACACCAAAAACTAACTTCAGCAATATAATAACTTCTAAAATAAAGCAGTTGACTGTGAAAGAGTATTCAATAAAATACAATCACGAAATTTTGGAGGAAAGTTACAACTTGTGCATACAGCAATCATTTATTGAAGTTTAATTAAATTACCTTTGCAGCGACTTCTACTTCCTACATTATTTTTCACAAACACTGCTATCACAGATAGCTGAGTGGTCAACGCGCTGCTTTGGTGGCGAAGGAATGGAAAGGTGGCAAGTTCGAACCTCATCCGTAGACGGTGTAATTCAGTTAGCTTTTCTCGTTTTGAAACGTTGTTTCTTATATTTAATCATCAATCATTACATTCTTATTCTGCCTATTATTATTGTTTTCATTTCTTATTTTATTCATTATTATTATTGTTTTTAATTTAGTTTAAAAATGTGCAGTGCAAATAGAAATCCTTATGTAAAAATATATCTGCATCTCTTTATCATATATCATCTATAAATTCTCTCTTTATTTTTACTTTATTGCATATTTTATCATGCACATAATTTCTCATAAACTGTCCAAAGTTTGAACCTCATTCTAAATTCAAAAAGAAATAAAAAGAAAAACAAAAGACCAAGGGAGAGCGAGTTAAAAAATATGAAGTTGGTTTTTATTATATGGTGGATGGTGTATATAAAGAGAATTAAGTAATTTAATTCTCTTTATATACTGTATTCCAAACCAATTTTATAAATCGTAATTTTCATACGATATAGAATCTGCAAGTCTGTCAAACTGGTCGATACTCATCCTGAAGGAATTAAAAAACAAGTAATATACCCCCTCCAAAAAAAAAATTAATTCCTACTTAGGTCCACAAAGAAAAGTTTAAAATACATAAATAAATAAATAAAAATATAAACATAATTTTTTTAAATTAAAAATTAAAAAAATTTTAATATGTGAAAAAGCTGTATTAACGTCAGGTGTCATTCACTGCAAGTTTAAAAAATTGTATTTGAACTTGAGTGGATGTATAAAAAGCATTTTATGTACTGAAAATTTGAACAAGATATAGGGAGAGTGTGAGCTAATAGTAGGAATTTAATAATTCCAGATATTCCTTTCGCAAACAAGGCAGTAAAAAAAAAAAAAAAATCTCTTTGAACAGGTCGCTCTAAATAAATCTTTTGG